CTTTCACCACTCCTATTCAACATAGTACTGGAGGTGTTGGCCAGAGCAATTCGGCAGGAAAAAGAAATAAAAGGAATCCAAATAGGTAATGAAGAAGTAAAACTCTCGCTGTTTGCAGACGACATGATCTTATATATAGAAAACCCCAAAGAATCCATAGAAAAACTATTAGAAATAATCAACAACTACAGCAAAGTAGCAGGGTGTAAAATCAACATACATAAATCAGTAGCATTTCTATACACTAACAATGAACTAACAGAAAAAGAACTCAAGAACTCAATCCCATTCACAATCACAATGAAAAGAATAAAATACCTTGGGATAAACTTAACCAAGGAAGTGAAGGATCTATACAATGAAAACTACAAGACTTTCTTGAAAGAAATTGACGATGACATAAAGAGATGGAAAGACATTCCATGCACATGGATTGGAAGAATAAACATAGTTAAAATGTCCATACTACCTAAAGCAATCCACAGATTCAATGCACTCCCAATCAGAATCCCAAGAACATTCTTCACAGAAATTGAACAAAGAATCCTAAAATTCATATGGGGCAACAAAAGACCCCGAATTGCTAAAGCAATCCTGAGCAAGAAAAACAAAGCCGGCGGAATCACAATCCCCGATTTCAAAACATACTACAAAGCTACAGTGATCAAAACAGCATGGTACTGGTACAAAAACAGGTCCACAGATCAATGGAACAGAATTGAAAGCCCAGAGATAAAACCACACATCTATGGACAGCTAATCTTTGACAAGGGAGCAGAGGGCCTACAATGGAGAAAAGAAAGTCTCTTCAACAAATGGTGCTGGGAAAACTGGACAGCCACATGCAAAAGATTGAAAATTGACCATTCTTTTTCACCACACACCAAAATAAACTCAAAATGGATCAAAGACCTAAAGATTAGGCCTGAGACAATAAGTCTTTTGGAAGAGAATATAGGCAGTACACTCTTTGACATCAGTTTCAAAAGAATCTTTTCCGACACTATAACTCCTCAGTTGAGGGAAACAATAGAAAGAATAAACAAATGGGACTTCATCAGACTAAAGAGCTTCTTCAAGGCAAGGGAAAACAGGATTGAAACAAAAAAACAGCTCACTAATTGGGAAAAAACATTTACAAGCCACTTATCCGACAAGGGGTTAATCTCCATAATATACAAAGAACTCACACTGCTTAACAACAAAAAAACAAACAACCCGATCAAAAAATGGGCAGAGGACATGAACAGACATTTCTCAAAAGAAGATTTAAATATGGCCAATAGACACATGAAAAGATGTTCATCATCGCTAATCATCAGGGAAATGCAAATCAAAACTACACTAAGATATCACCTTACACCCGTTAGATTGGCAAAAACATCCAAAACCAAGAGCGACAAATGTTGGAGAGGTTGTGGAGAAAAAGGAACCCTCATACACTGTTGGTGGGAATGCAAACTGGTACAGCCACTATGGAAAACAGTATGGAGATTTCTCAAAAAGTTAAAAATAGAAATACCCTATGACCCAGCCATCCCATTACTGGGTATCTATCCTAAGAACCTGAAATCAGAAATCCCAAGAGTCCCTTGCACCCCTATGTTCATCGCAGCATTATTTACAATAGCCAAGATGTGGAACCAACCTACATGCCCAGAAACTGATGATTGGATAAAGAAGATATGGTATATATACACAATGGAATACTACTCAGCCATAAAAAAGACAAAACTGGCCCATTCGCAGCAACGTGGATGGACCTCGAGGGTATTATGTTAAGTGAAATAAGCCAGTCAGAGAAAGACGAACTCTATATGACTCCACTCATAGGTGGAAGTTAATATATTGACAAGGAGATCTGATCGGTGGTTACCAGGGAAAAGGGGGGGTGGGGAGAGGGCACAAAGGGGGAAGTAGTGTACCCACAGCATGACTAACAATAATGTACAACTGAAACCTCACAAGGTTGTAATCTATCATAACATTAATTAAAAAAAAAAGAAAAAAGAAAGAAAGAAAGAAAGAAATTTCACTTAAAAAAAAAAAAAACCCCAGGGGCCGGACCCGTGGCCAAGTGGTTAAGTTTGTGCACTCTGCTTCGGCAGCCCAGGGTTTCGCCTGTTTGAATCCTGGGCATGGACGTGGCACTGCTCGTCAAGCCATGTTGAGGTGGCATCCCACATGCCACAACTAGAAGGACCCACAACTAAAAATACACAACTATGTACCAGGGCACTTTGAGAGAAAAAGGAAACATAAAATCTTTAAAAAAAAAAAAAAAAAAACCCTAGAATTTATTTCCTCATTAATAAGCCTGTATTTAAAAAAATCGTATTCACATGTTATTACCTTTTTTTATTTCATCAATAAGACATTTCTGGAAATTTGTTTTCTCTCTTGCTATATCTACATAATAAACCATAATACCTACATAAGATCCTCAGTTTCACCTCTTGGCCTGCAAATCATAAACCATCTACCTCTCCAGAGAGAGTTTGCCAGCCTGAGCTAGAAAATACTTTCTCACCATCAGTCCAGCTCCATTCCATAAACAGGCTAACGAGCTCACTCCATTAAGAGCATCTTAAAACTACATTTTTTAAAATGCATTTTTAAAATAATACATTTTTACATATAAAGAGATAATAAACAGTGATTAATATTTAGTCTTAAAGAGTTGTTAAAGGTAATTTCTTGGTATTCCTGTATAATTCTCAGCAAGATAAGAGCGATGGGGCAGGTAGCTGAAACACAGGAACACATCCTTCAACCGACTTTCAGACGTTGGCAGAGGAAGTGAAACAACTCTAATGTCTCAACAATAATGAAAGAACAGTCGCTAAATATCAACCACGCTGGTCAACATACTCAGTTTCTTAACATTTTCAGGAAATTTTCAAAACCCAATTCCTTTCTCCACACATGAGTAAAACCATTTGAAAGATATTCAAACAAATACAAAACAAAAAAGCTTTTTCTTCAAAAATAAGCTCAAGTAGAAAATGGCAGTAAAAATGCTTCCCTGTCCACAAGGACCTGGGCTGGCTAGAGGGCACCTGAAGTCTCAAGGAATTTCAAGTCAGCAGTCCCGACCTCAAGGACACCTGCTCCGGCAACCACCAGGGAGGCGAGCAGTGTCTGACCCTCCAGCTCACTTGACTCGAGGGGCACGGAAAGGCCTCTCGGTTGCTCTTCATCTCACCCTCTCTCTCTCTTAAGCTCTTCTCTGTTGGTCTACCTCTCCACGTGTCCCTTCTCTCATCTATTTCTGCCCCCCAAGCCACTTCTTTACTGGCCATAAAATCTCTGCAGAATATTACTGTATCTTCCACTCCCAATGCAATACTTAGGGTCTGATGCACAGTGGATTGCTTCATACGGTCTACATGACACAGCTGGAGAGATGTTTGATTTCCAGTATTGTCAGATTTTATCTAAGTAAGGTACAATGGACGAGCCAAAGACAGTTCAGCATCTCCACATTTGTGACGCCATCATCTTGGGGAAGGAGAATTGCTGAAAAGTTCTTATTCTGATAGACAGGGGACAGATACCAGCTACAGGAGCTGTAAGAGGAAGGGCAGCTCTTCACTCAGAGCTGGGACCACCCTGGCAGACACTTGCCCATTTGGATGATCATTTGACATCGAACTCAGCACTCTGCAACTTCCCAGAAGAATAAGCCAAATGACTCAACAAGGAAGACTCAGAAGCAGTCAAGTTTTCAACAGCACATCCATCTAAGGCGCCTAGAATGTTCTACCCCAGAATCAAGGATGGGAGATTGGGCAGAGATGCTATTTGCCATGTCTGTATTTTCCTTTTTATCCACACACCCCAATAACAGGCTTCTTTCCCGTTTTAAATATGTAGACTCGAGTTGAGACTCTAGAGTTAAGTACTATATGGTAGAACTAGAGGGGTGACTGAAATTTAGTTCAGACGCTCTCCATAAATTAACCGAGTCCAGAAGCCACTCTGGAACGTCCCCCATCTTGTTTATACTCCATGCCGTATCCCTTCAAGCACTCTCTTACCAACACATTCGCCTCCCCAGTGCTGCTACCCCAAACCTACTGCCGTCAAAGGTCTGCCTCTTCCACATCTGCGCTCAGATATCTAGGCTTAAGTGGAGAAAAATCACGTAATCAACAAAGCCCAACCAAACAGCAACATTTTAAATGCTGGGTCTCCAGCCACACCAGGTACTCAGTGCTACTAAGAAATTCGAAGTTTCCCTGGCCAGTTCTCTCTGCCACGGTCGGAAGCCACCACTTCACACCTTCACCACCCTCCCCACACCTGCCAGCCCACCACCTCATTCTTGGAAGACAATCATGGTCCCCACTTCATAAAGAAGAAACAAGTCACGCAGAAACTGCTTTCAACTGTGTGCCACAAAACCTATACACCTACACGTACCTACCCTAGCCTCTCCTCTTTCCTTGAATCAAAGAAGTGACCTTTGACCTTCCTAACCTATGTTCCAGACTCAATTTCCCTTTGTCTCTGTGGAAAGCTGACTTTAAAAATCATCTCCCTCTATTTCTTAGCATCGACTACTCTCCCCCACTTCCACTGTGTTTCTTAAAGAAAAAAAAAACTCGCTCCCTGAAAACTTCCTTGAAAGCATCACCCACACTCCCCATCTCCCCTGCTCTGCCCCACCCCACCCACACCAGCCATGGTCGCCAGTGGCCTTGAAGGGGCCCTGTGCAGTCCTGTCCTCACCCAACCAGCGACAGGCTGGGCTCATCACTCAGGTCTCACTGAGAGGCTCTCCCCCTCAGCTCAGAGGAAGGCACACTCCCTGGGTTTTCCTCCTACCTCACTGCTGCTGCTTCTCCAGCGAAGACGGACACAAATGTGAAGAGGAAAACCTAAGAAAGCTACAGCCAAGTAACCCAAGATGGGGAGTTTTTCAGCTCTTGGGTTGCATCACACAGAGGTTGATGATGCTAATTCCAGTCACCGCTGAACTCTCTTACTCATCTCACCTGCTGAAACAGGAGCTCCTCTGCTCTAAGCCTCTCCATCATTTCCTGCTCCATCAGGGCGTGCTGTCTCTCTCGTGCCAAGTCAGCCATTTCCTGTTGTCTCTAGGATTGTTTAGAAACAATATCACATGACTAATTAGAGACAAAACAATTTTGAAAGCATCTTAATTACCAACAATAGGGAAAGGGCTAAGTAAATTATAGTCTATCCACTTGGAAACTATATAATGATTTGGGGAAATGTGTGTTTTATTCGAACAAGAAACACAAAATTAAAATTATCCATTGAATATGATCACAATTATATAAAAATATCTACAGACAAATGTACAGATAAAAAGACTAGAAGAAAACACCTAAAAATCTAAATAGAGGTCTTCTTTGGGTATTGTTTTCTTCTTCTACTTTTTCATGTTCAAGTTTTAGTATAATAAACATACTATTTTTATAACAGAAAGAAATAATATTGAACTTTTTAAAAAGCAGACAAACTGGACCAATTATTGTACTCTTCTAACTTTCTGAAAGAAGACCCACGCTTACCAGCTGCTCCATGGTCACGTTCTCCTTATACTTGTAGATCCACAACGCTAAATACTCTATTGGGTCCACGGGGCGGACTCTCGCCACCTCTGCAAGACCTTGAGTTAGACACGCCCCAAGGTGCTTCTGAAGATACATTGACTCCATCTCGGACTCCTCACTTCTAAAGACAAGCATCTTTGCATTAATGCAGGAAATTTTCAATTAAGGCACAATAAAAGTACGGTCCGGGGAGGCCAAAAAGTGTTACATCCTGTCACCAGCCACGGGCACCTCCCATCAGGGACGGCACAAGCACGCTGGCCCCAGGAAACTTCTAACAGTTTCTAAAAAGGCTCCACAGAAGCCACTCCAACCAAAATAGTTTCAAAATCTTGAAGGCCCCTCCAGTCCAGGAGTGAGGAAAGGGCAACTGCCATTGTTGACTGCAAGATGACCACGTGCCAAACAACACTTCTCTCTCAATCCTCACAACACATCTGAGAGGTGGGCGTCATTATCCCCACTGTCAGCTGAGGAGGCCCAGCACGAAGAGCATAAGGGGACAGTCCAGGACCACACAGTGGCACCTGGCGGAGGCAGGAGTCACACCCAACTCTTGATTCCAGGGTGGTTACCTTAATGACTACTAAGATGCTGCTCCCAAGCCAGGAGAGTCATTTTAGAAAGCATCACAAAGGTCCACCTCAAAAAAAAAAAAAAAGGCCTTGAATCTCCAAGGCCGAAGAATAAAAAAATTCAAGCTTCCGAGAACAGCACATGAGGCTCCTCACACTCCGTCTCACCTCGGGGCATCTCTTCTGCCTCCAACATCCAGGCCTCTAACTACACAGAACATCCTGCCATCGGCTGCTCACATTTCACACTTGTCGATCGCCACACTTGCCACACGAAGACCCCACCCAACCTCTCGGCTCGGCTCGGGAAATATCTCCCCACCTGCAAGATGCAGATCTCTCATTCCCCAAGCTTTCTCAGACGACACAGAAAGTTCCTCCTTCCCCAGGCAGTTCACACAGCACTTGTCACACTGCCTGAGGACTGCCTGTATGCACGTGTCTGTCCTTCCAGAGACCAGCTCCTCCAGCCCCTGGAGGAGTGTTTTCGTCATAAGGGTGACACAGCTGGCTCTTTGTGGTGGCAAGGGAATGAGCTTCTCCCCTCTCCCAGGAATGTCCCAGTCTGTTCAGTTATGAAGATGCTCAAGAATAATCTTAGGCCAGATTTTTTTAAAAAAGAAGAAAGAAACGTAGCAAGCACTCCATCTCAGGTGCTTTGAAAGAAGTGACCACCCTCAGATGACTCTATGGAATCCGGACTCCTCTGAGAATCTAACAAAACACAATCATTATTTAACAGATCACACTCAGTGCTTCTGTATGTCAGGCATGAGCAATTACAGGGGATAGAATGCCAGCATGTCTACACCCGTCCCTGGACAAACGGACCTAACATGCTGCACAAAATTTCAGCAACAATGACCTCCTGAGGTTCATCCGTGGACCCCAATACAATGGGGTCTCTCTCATACAACGGTAGCGACAGTACAAGATGGTATAACTCCTTTGGAGGGAAATTTGGCAATATCTAGAAAATTACATATGTACTTACTCTTTGACCCATCAATCTCATTTCTGGGGTCCTATCTTGAAAAAATATAAAATGATATACGCAAACGGTTATTTTGCACCATTATTTAGAAAAACCAAAATGGAAGCCCATCCAAATGCTCATCATTAGGGGACTGACGAGATACAGCAACACAATGGATTATTGGGCAAGTGTAAACCAGAACGAGGAGGATCTCTAAAACAGGGGGTGGTCTCTAGGATACAGCATGATGTGGAAAAAGCCAGGTGCAGAAATTGTATATGGATGCCACCTTCTGTGCTAGCAACAGCTGCGGCAAAAGGAATGTGTCTGTGTGTATACACAAATGTAGTCATAAAAACTAAACATCTAAAAATTGAACAGTGGAGCAAATGAACCTAATTCCCTATCAGGTCGGCCTTGGTGTCCTCACTACACGGTGGAAAGAATTCTACAACTGAGTTTGCAACGCAGCATCCTCACTGTACTTCTTCACCGGGATATACTATAAAGACAAAAATAACTCCGCTGACACCTCAATGTCATCTAAAGGGGAGTGACATAAAAAGGCAACAGCCTCCTGCAGCTACTCCACAGAGCAACGGGTAATACGGAGGAAGCGGGAAGCCTCTGGCCCAGGACTAGGGCCCCATCCAGGGCCCATCTCAGATCCATGGGCGCTGCATGCCACTCTCAGCAGGACCCCGGCGAGGCTCTTTACCTCACCTGGCGTGTTTCCTGTCCATGAAATGGCAATAACACTCACCTTGCAAGATTGTTGTAAGGAATGGTGTTTGTCACACACACCAACAGGCATCTTAGCTAAACATCAGGGAGCCTCTTCCCAGAGAAACAACCCTGGAGAAGTTGTCAAGAGAAATAGAGGTCCCTGGCCGGTGCCTGGGAGAAAGCTGGCCAGCCGAGTGGCAAAGGAGAGGATCTGGGTAGGGCTGCCAGATTTAGCAAATAAAAATACAAGATGCTCAGTTAAGCTCGAATTTCAGATAAACAACGAATGATTTGTATTATACTATACTCATACTATAAAGCACAAGGATTCAAGTTTAACTGGGCGTCCCGTATTTATCTGGCAACCCTCGACTCGGGGCGGTAGGGTTCCTTTTTCTATCCCGGGTCCCCGAGGGTTGTCCCGCCCTCAACCAGGCGCGGCGCCACGCACCCTCGAGGAGGCGGCGGCGGAGGCGGAGGCAGCAGCGGAGGAGAAGGCAGCGGAGGAGGAGGCAGCGGAGGAGGAGGAGCCGAGGGCGCACCCGCGGAGCCGCCGGCGCTGAACTGACCCCGCTAGACTCGGGAGCGTCGCCCGCGCCCCGCACGGTCCGCGAGGGCCAACGTCCGAAACCGCCTCTGCAGCCGCAGCCCAGCCGAGCACCGAGCCCCTTCTCCCCGACTGCGCCTGCGTTGAGGCGCGTGCCCGCCCCCGACTCGTGGGCCGCGTCCCGTCGCTAGGCAACGAGCGCGCGCAGCCCCGGGGCCAGAGACGCAGGCCCAGTGAGGAGGGGCGCGCGCCGGTGAGCGGAGGGCGCTAGGGAGGGGGCCCGGGGGAGAAAGCGCTGCAGAGAGGAGGGGCGCGCAGGTGGCGAGAGGGGGTCCGGCGGAGAGTACGCCGCAGAGAGGAGGAGGCGCGCGGGAGGTGTGGAAGGGGCGCGGCACAGAGGAGGGAGCAAGATCGTGAGTGAGCAGAGAAGTGCAGCCTAGAGGCTGTTAGGACAGCGCGCCCGAAAAGACGATTTGATGGGGCAGTTAGGCCGGTGCGCCCTGGGAAGGATAAAGGGGCGGCTGGCTCTCGGGGTGGGAGAAGGGCGGGACGCCCCGACAGCCCCGGGCCGGAAGAGGCTGTTTGCTGCAAGCCCGATAGCCGAGTGTTTTCACTAGCCGGCACCTTTGCACTGCACTTGCGGGCGACCTCCGCGTGGTCCCTTTCAGAAGCAGCTCGGGCGCCCTGTCTCCAGGAAGCCCTCCCACCTCCCCCAGGCCTGAGCCCTTGCAGCCTTCTCTGCCGTCGTCGTTTGTGCACGGTGCTCCACTAGCGTTTCCCGTGTTCTGTTTGCATTTATGTGCGGCGCGGTGCCGGGCAGGAGAAGCCTCGCTGAACGTGAGTTGAAGTGGTAAGCGCCAGGGTGGGCGCGCACAGATCGGAAGGGACTGGGAAGTGGGGCGGCTTCCTGGGAATGCAGAGTAGGGGACTCCAGCCTCCGGGGAGGGTGGTTCTACAGTGATAGAGGCACAGTGGGTCTGTAAGTGAGTCACCTGGGGATTTTGTGAAAATGCAAACTGAATCTGTAGGTCTGGGGTGGGACCTGAGGATCTTCAACAGGCCCCCAGGTGATGCAGTGCTGCTGATCCGCGGACCACACTTTGAGTAGGAGGGGTGTGGAAGGTTGTTTATCCAGGTGCGTCCATTCATGTGGGCCACAGAGTGCCAGAAGCAGACATCACGTACCCCATCCCCACCCTCCACCATTAATCCTAAACTCGGTAGCTTTAAACACGCATTTATTCTCTTACAGTTTTTCAAGTCAGAAATCCAAAATGAGTCTTACAGGGACAAAACCAGAATGCAGGAGGGCTGATTCCTTCTGGAGCCTCTGGGGAGAGTCCACTTCCTGGCTTTTCCAGCTTCTAGAGGCTGCCACACTCCTTGGCTGGTGGCCCTGAATCACGTCACCTTTTCTCCCTCTTCTGTCATCACATCTCCCTCTTCTCTGTCTGCCTTTACTGTGTCCCTCTTACAAAGACCCTTGTGATCGCCTGCGTTGTTCCTACCTGCATAGTCCAGATGACCTCCTCAAGTCACATCTGCAAAGTCCCTTTTGCCATATAAAGTGACATTTCATAGGTTCCAGGTACACGGACATAGACACCTTTGGGAGCCCTTATTCAGCCCCACTACACTGTATTTCCTAAGAAAAAGGGCATTTTCGTGCTTACGCATATTACAATTACCAAAACCAGGGAATTCCACCTTGATACAATCCTATTATGTGATCTACAATTCACAGTCAGTTTCCCCAACAACGTCCTTTCTAGAATTCTTCTTTCTGGTCCAGATCCAACCAGCATCCTGTGCTGGGTGCAGTTGTTAAGCCTGTTTAGGCTCCCTTGACCGGAACGCTGCCTCATCTTTCTTTGTCTTTCGTGACCTTGACATTTTTAAGAGCACAGGCCAGCTGCAGACTGTCTCTCCGTTTCGCTTGATGTTTCCTCAGTTAGATTCAAGTTTTGCATTTGGGGCAGGAATCCGCAGAAATGTCCATGTCCCACTGAGTGCATCCCCTCGGGAGACAGGTGATGTCACTTTGTCCCTTTATGAGTGACATTTACTCTGACCACTTGGTTAAGGCTGTGAGGCCAGGTTTCACCCCTGTGAAGCTTCTGTGTTTCCTTTTGGGATTACAGTAGTTGCCCCCTTCTCTGCGGTTCCACTTTGCGTGGTGTCAGTTGTCCATAGTCAACCAGGGTCCAAAATTATTAAATGGAAAATTCCAGAAATAAGCAGTTCATAAGTTTTAAATTGTCTGCTTGTTCTGAGCAGCATGATGACTCATCCCTTTGTCCGCATCTGCACGCTGTATAGCTACCCGCCCGTCATCACTGAGTGGCCGTCTCTGTTGCCATATGGACTGCCGCAGTGTCTCAGTGCTTGTGTTTGAGTCACCTTTATTTCACTTAATAATGGCCCCGAAGCACAAGAATAGTCATGATGACAATTCGGATATGCCAAAGAGAAGCCATAAAGTGCTTCCTTTAAGTGAAAATGAGAAAGTTCTCAACTTAATAAGGAAAGACCAAAAAATTGTATGCCGGAGACACTAAGATCTATGGTGACTTTTATTACAATATCTTGTTATAATTGTTCTATGTTACTATTAGTTGTGGTAGTTAACCTCTTACTGTATCTAATTTATAAATTAAACTTTATCATAGGTATGTATACATAGGGAAAAACATAGCATTTTTTTTTAGTATTTTTTTTTATTGAGTTATTGATAGGTTACAATCTTGTGAAATTTCAATTGTACATTAATGTTTGTCAGTCATGTTGTAGGTGCACCACTTCACACTTTGTGCCCACCCCCCACCCCACCTTTCCCCTGGTATCCACTAAACTGTTCTTGGTCCATAGTTTTAAATTCCTCATATGAGTAGAGTCATACACAGATTATCTTTCTCTTGCTGGCTTATTTCACTTAACATAATTCTCTCAAGGTCCATCCATGTTATTGCAAATGGAATGATTTTGTTTTGTTTTACAGCTGAGTAGTATTCCATTGTATATATGTACCACATCTTCTTTATCCATTCGTCTGTTGATGGGCACTTAGGTTGCTTCCACATCTTGGCTATTGTAAACAGTGCTGCAATAAACATTGGGGTGCACAGGACTTTTGGGATTGCTGACTTCAGGCTCTTTGGATAAATACCCAGTAGTGGGATGGCTGGATCGTATGGTAGTTCTATTTTTAGTTTTTTGAGGAATCTCCATACTGTTTTCCATAGTGGCTGCACCAGTTTGCATTCCCACCAGCAGTGTATGAGGGTTCCTTTTTCTCCGCAACCTCTCCAACATTTGTTGCTATTAGTTTTAGATATTTTTGTCATTCTAACGGGTGTAAGGTGATATCTTAGTGTAGTTTTGATTTGCATTTCCCTGATGATCAGCGATGATGAGCATCTTTTCATGTGCCTATTGGCCATCAGTATATCTTCTTTGGAGAAATGTCTGTTCATGTCTCCAGCCCATTTTTTGATTGGGTTGTTTGATGTTTTGTGATTGAGTTGCGAGAGTTCTTTATATATTAAGGATATTAAGCCTTTGTCAGATATATGACTTGCAAATATTTTTTCCCAGTTAGTGGGTTGTTTTTTTGTTTCAATACTGTTTTCATTTGCCTTGAAGAAGCTCTTTAATCTGATGAAGTCCCATTTGTTTATTCTTTCTATTGTTTCCCTTCTCTGAGAAGGCATGGTGTCCGAAAAGATCCTTTTAATACTGATGTCAAAGAGTGTACTGCCTACGTTTTCTTCCAGAAGCCTTATGGTTTCAGGTCTCACCTTTAGGTCTTTGATCCATTTTGAGTTTATTTTGGTGAATGGTGAAAAAGAATGGTCAATTTTCATTCTTTTACATGTGGCTTTCCAGTTTTCCCAGCACCATTTGTTGAAAAGACTTTCTTTTCTCCATTGTATGCCCTCAGCTCCTTTGTCAAAGATAAGCTGTCCATAGATGTGTGGTTTTATTTCTGGGCTTTCAATTTTGTTCCATTGATCTGTGCACCTGTTTTTGTACCAGTACCATGCTGTTTTGATTACTGTAGCTTTGTAGTATGTTTTGAAGTCAGGGATTGTGATGCCCTCCCGTTTTGTTCTTTTTTCTCAGGATTGCTTTAGCAATTCGGGGTCTTTTGTTGCCCCATATGAATTTTAGGATTCTTTGTTCTAATTCTGTAAAGAATGTCATTGGGATTCTGATTGGGATGGCATTGAATCTGTAGATTGCTTTAGGTAGAATGGACATTTTAACTATGTTTATTCTTCCAATCCATGTACATGGAGTGTCTTTCCATCTCCTTATGTCGTCATCCAATTCGCTCAGAAAGGCCTTGTAATTTTCATTATATAGGTCCTTCACTTCCTTAGTTAAATTTACCCCAAGATATTTTATTCTTTTTGTTGTGATTGTGAATGGTATTGTATTCTTGAGTTCTTTTTCTGTTGGTTCATTACTGGAGTATAGAAATGCTACTGATTTATGCAAATTGATTTTATACCCTGCCACTTTGCTGTAGTTGTTGATTACATCTAACAGTTTTCCAATGGATTCTTTGGGGTTTTCTATATATAAGATCATGTTGTCTGCAAACAGCGAGAGTTTCACTTCTTCCCTCCCTATTTGGATTCCTTTTATTCCTTTTTCTTGCCTGATTGCTCTGGCCAGGACCTCCAGTACTATGTTAAATAAGAGTGGTGATAGAGGGCATCCTTGTCTTGTTCCTGTTTTCAGGGGGATGGGGTTCAGTTTTTGCCCATTGAGTATGATGTTGGCTATGGGTTTGTCATATATGGCCTTTATTATGTTGAGGTAGTTTCCTTCTATGCCCATTTTGTTCAGAGTTTTTATCATAAATGGCTGTTGGATCTTGTCAAATGCCTTCTCTGCATCTATTGAGATGATCATGTGGTTTTTATTCCTCAGTTTGTTGATGTGGTGTATCACGTTGATTGATTTGCGGATGTTGAACCATCCCTGTGTATGATTCTTTTGATGAATTGCTGAATTCTGGTTGCCAAAATTTTGTTGAGAATTTTTGCATCTATGTTCATCAGTGATATTGGCCTGTAGTTCTCTTTTTTCGTGGTGTCCTTGTCAGGTTTTGG